AAACGACAAGAAATAAATCAATTTAATTCTATCGCAATCCATGCGCATCTGTGTAATTACCGAAATCCATATATTTATATGCATCCTTTAATACCGAGCTTACATTCTCTAAAATTAAATCCAGACCGAATAAAAGCTAACCCGAAATCGTATCTTGAAATACAACTTACCTGATTATTAGATTTTCAATTTCTTCTTTTTTTTTTCGAGTGAAGCTCTTTTTGCGCATCGCGTCTTACGCGAAGGTATGCGATGCAAAGAGCAGGCAAAAACAATTTACCAGGTAGAAATTTACGTGCGTCGGGGAATTGGAATGGGGCCGTACGGGAAAGGATTAACGTTGCAAAATGAAAGTAGCGCGCGCGCAGTTGCAATGGCTTTGCAATATTGACAGTTTGCTCCCGATCTACCCCAAGTTGCATGAAGCGCCGCGGCACTCCGGTGTCGGTGTAACTACGTTTAGGAATTTGACATACATTTCACTATTGTACCAACCTGAGGGCCAGCGCCGTTCAAGGTATTCAAGCTATTCATTCTCATTGCCTGCGTGTACGGCGGTGGTGCCGGCGTGACTCCCGGCACGGCAGTGTGCGGCGCGTGTCGGAGCTGTTCAGCCGCTGACATTCTGTATTCGTTTGCAAGAAAGAAATATAGCGTTAGTGACGGGAAATCGGGCTTTTTCCCGGCGTTGGAATTTAAATCGTGAAAAGAGAAGAAAGCGAGAAACAAGTATGTAAACAGTAACTGAATCTGACTCCCAGCAAATTCGTCGCGGTTTCGTTTCTTGCCAGGCGTCACGAGTACATCAACGTTTTCGCTATATAAGCACCCAATGCATCGTCAAATGTATTCTCACTTACACTCTGAAACTTTTAAAAGGAATCTCATTTTGTAGAGTAAATTCTCACTCTTAAAAATTGAAAATTCAGTCTCCCTTTTTTGACTCAATTTTTATTCTTTAAAGTGAGATTTCTTTAAAAAATTTAGAGAATATATGTATATTCATCGTATCACTTGATTAATGATTAATAATTGGCATTTGACACTTAACAAAATTAAGTAATAAGCAAAGTTTGTTTGCAAGAAGATATCTTAAATTCTAACTGTTGCGTTCAATAATATTTATTTCATCTCGCTACAAATAAAACTCATAATTATGGACAGGAGGAGGCAGGAGGGGCAGGAGAAGTCATGCCTCTTCCCTAAATCTTAAACAGATGTAAAGATAATTGCAAAAATAACTAAAATTAAACTTCAAGGAAGTATATCTCAAAGTTCCGTCAGTCATGTTTATCATTGCAAAGCGATTCTTTGAAATACTTTTCCCTGTTTCGAAAAGGGATGATTTTAGGAGACTTCCACGTGTTGACAGTTCTTTGTCGACTTTTATTCTACAGCGTTATAACCGCGAATTGAAACCGTAACGAATTCATTTCTATTTGTCGAACCGAGGAAGTCGTCTCGTCTCGTTTCGGCTTGTACTTCAGTCCGATTCGGAAAGAGTCTTGGATTTTGGGTCTGAAACAAAACACGTGGGTTGCTGTTGTGCATCTTTGGCGGAGGAAGGTAAACAGTAGTAAGGAAAGGCACGTATGAGCTAGATGCGGGTGGCGAAGCGTGGACTTGGTATATAGACACAATAGTGAGATACTTTGATCTTTCTTCGAGGTCATCTTCTGTGGGAAGAGTATAAAATTTTAAAAAAAGGACCGCTGAACGCGACGCAAAACAAGAATTTTAAAAGTTCCCCGAGAAAAACAGAATGCAATATGCAGTCGCAAACGAAATTTACGCGAAAGCTTGAATATAATTTACGTTCTTTTTTTTCTGAGGAATTCTCCATCGCATCTTGGTTGATTTTTTAATCATCGTATTTCCGTTTTTTAAGGTAGAGCAAGCATTTCCCGAAGCTCGTGCGAGGCACAGCCGTGCCTCGCTCTCATATCTAATTTAGCCGTTCGCGACGAACGCATTCCTGGCACGTACGACATGAGATTCCCGCATACGAGGATGACAAGCGTCGCGCGACGTATACGTAAACGGAACGTGATGCCACCTAAGGTATCCGCAGCCGATCAATGACACGAGCCAATTATAATTAGTCCGAGGCATCCGCGCGAGCTCCGAGGCTATGTTGACACTCTCAGAAATTTTGGAACTTTGATCGAGCGTGAATGAAGGTTATTTCCTTGGCTTACATGAAAGGAATTATATTACAGTAAAGATACACTGAGACTATCGCTCTTCTTGTATTATATATTGTCTCACATTTAAGAAACAATAATTTTTTAAAATACTTTGGAAGAGTTTTTAATATCGATTAATAAAGTAATAAATTTTTGTTTTCTTTCTGGCCTGTATTTGCACTGAAAAAAATTTACTAAATTTTAATATAAATATTTGTTTAAATATAGTACTAATGAAATATTTACTTACAGTATATAAATATTTATTTAACAAAAAGCTGTATTTAAATTAAATTAATAGTTCTTGTATCAAAGAAGTATACATTTGGTAAATAAATTTGGTAAATAAATTTGGTAAATATTTAGTTAGTAGTATAAAACAAATATTTATTAAAATTTAATAAACTCTTTTTCAGTGTGAACAAGCGACAGAGAGATCTGTTTTACCTGAGATAGGGATTGCCATATGTCGCGGAAAATCGCGGATCGATCGGCGTTGTTTGTGGAGTCGAGCTACCCAGATTGGCCGAGCTAAGTCCGATTTTTTTCGATGATAAGATACCACTCGTGGATATCCTGCTCAAGGACTCTCGCGAAGCGCCCATGCTCTGTGTCGTTGGTGGCATATAATCGCGAGTGTAGTCAACGTATGGCACATAACCGTTGTTGTTACTGCCATCCTACAGAAACAGATGCCACGTCTCACTTTTTAATATTGAATAAATAAGACATAAATAACGATTCATGCACACTTTATTTGAGAGACATTTCGGGAATATATTCTTAGAACGTCTCTTGGAAATCTATGCTGCACAGAAAGAACGGTTTTTTACTGAAGTAACCAAAAATTTAGCTAGATACAGATCTGAAAATAATTTTATTGGGCCATCAAAATAATTATGTAGAATTTACATTTAAACATTTAAGTCTTACATAATTATTTTAATGATTCAAAGAAATTATTTTCAGATCTTTATCTAACTAAATTTTTTAATACTTTAACAAAATTGTTACTTCTGTGTGTAAGAGAGAAATATCTCTATAAATATTTTTCTAAAAATTTCTTTTAAAAATCTGTTCTTAAATAGTTGGATCTTTTTCTTCAAGTTTATTTAGGAGGTCTCACAATCGTTCGTTAAAGTATCTTGAGAGCAAGTATATTAAATCGACTTACGTTGTTCTTCGGCGGGAAGGAAGGCTCAGTATAATCAGCGCTATAACGATAACCGGATAATGGATTCGGCACTGGTCCAGCAAGCGCCAAAGCGTTTACTCCTCTGGTACTTCCTTCGCCTTCACTGTCAAGGGCTGTCACACTTTCCGCGTTGCTAACACTGGATCCCGCTCTGATGTCCGCTTTGACATCCGAGAGGTTGCTGCTCCTATCGCTTTCTCTGTATCGATCGGCATTAGAATCCGTTTCCTCTATATGAATCAGGGAAAGAGGCAACGAGGTTGAACAAATGTCTTGAAAAATTTAGTAATTAAATTGGTATAACATTCGTTACTTTAACCCCTTCAGAATCAGAGTAAATTGTAATATAATCATCAATTTGAAGACATTATCTGTTGAAATTATTTAATTCTATCAACACAGTCAAAATTTTTTGAAAAAAATCAATTGTTTATTACTTATTAAAATACATTTGAATACTAAAGATTTTTTAACTTGATTTCGTTAAAATCAGATCTAAAGAGATTAATTTTTCTTGTAACATTCTGTCGATACAATGTTTTGTATGTATCTATATATATTAATGTATTATCTATATATATTAATGTCACAATTACTTACGCAAATCAGTCTCTTGATTCTGTGCCGTACGCGGTCGTGGCTGCTTAATACGATCGCGACATTGTAGAATGAGTATGACTATTATGCCAATTAGGATCACGCAGACAACCAGCCCGGCGATGATCAAGATCAGTTGCCAATCGACTGGAATCAACGCTAAACGTCACGTCTGGTTAAAATCTCGTTTACCATATGAAGAAGAGCGAGGCGCGTTAATTAATATACGCATCGCCGCTTGAAAAGTGGCACAAGTCAATAACATCGAATTCCAGACCTTTCACTTGAATAACAGTAATATATAAATCTTCAGCGTGTATCTTTTTTGTCATACTTTTACAGATTAAGCATAAGCTTCTATTTACCACTGTAATAAATTCGATAGTCATGTTTATCAACTGTGCCACTTTTTACGGAAGTTTTTCCACTCCTATTATATTTCCCTTTCTTAGAATTAAGTTGCGGAATGTAATAGCAATTACATAGTGACTCGAAAAGAGATTATAACGTTTGATATACATTAATAGTGAGTCATTTGTCGAAGGTAATTATTTGATCGTGAGTAGCGGTTAAAGTAGTTTGCAAATCATTAACTGAAGAGCTAGTCGCGCAAATGAGCTGATCTAGAATCTCTCTGATCTTTTAGAAGTATTGAATGGTGATGAAGCTTTCCGTCATGGACGTATTACGCTTACAAATTGTGATTTTCCGGAACATCGTAAAAGTCTCGGTACAAAAGAATTGAAATTATTATATAAAAAGATAGCTCGTTGGCTTTTGCTCAAAAAGCTTACAGTTATGGGAGAGCTATATTTCTATCTGAAACAATGTCAATTCCGAAAAGTAGAAATACACATCATTTTCTTGAGTAAACAGTGGTTAAAAATGTTTTGAATAAACACGGTGATATACGTTCAACCAGACATTTAGATAGGTATCTTATTTCCTTGTTTTTATTTAAATGTACGCAAAATATCTACGTATATCATCGGTGTTATCTCGGTGAATACGTGTGGTAAGAGACTCTGGTAATATTTCAACTCCCTAATCGTTCTTAAACTACTTTACACAGTTTCGATCTTCTTGGAAAAAGCGAACCGATTTATAACACACTGTCTATGTCCATTAGACCTACATCTGTTTCCATGAATTTGATATATAATCAAAGAGAAAAATTTACGTAGTTTCCATTATATCAACAATGAAACGCTTATAATGTTAGAATAATAAAACTATATAAATTTTTAATATGTCGTAATTACTGTAATAGATTATCATAACAGATCTATATTATGCTTATGATATCAAAACGATAAAACTATATAACTTTTTAATAAATTTTTTATATAATCTATATTATCATAAAAAATTTAGATTATATAGGTTATTAAACATATTTATAGTCGACTCTTTCTCAACGAAAATATCGAAATTATTAAAATAAAAGATATTTTGTTCTCTCACGCGAGAAAGCTTTTCACGAGAGAAACTTTTCTTTCACATTTAGAAAATACGAATGACTACTACAAAGCAAACGTGTATACCCTATGTACACATATGAGCATATAATATATTCGCGTCGAGTTACAATTAGCTCATATTGTTTGCTTCTCATGAGCAAACATGGCTTCTCATAATCGTTAATATCGCAATTGTAAAATTAGAACTTTCTCTTTGTAACAACGCCTTTAATATATCCTTCTTTTGTTTTAATGATTACTCAGTGAGAGACAATACGGGCGTGAATTATACATTCGTCCTTCAAGTATATATATATGTTTAAAATTACAACGACACGGTACTCTTTCATTACGAGATGACCTTATAACGAAACGTAGCATTTCGATCAACGCCATTATTTCTTGTCCTAAAAATATACTCATTATTGCTATCGCGATTAGAGAAGAAAATAATTCCCGCTAAACACAAACAAACTAACAATATTGTTATAAATAATATTATAATTTCCCACTCAACATTTTACATATAATATAACACATGTTATCCATAACAGTCATATTATTGAGTAGGGAATTATAACATTGATATAATGTTATTATTAGTTTATGTTTAGCGGATTTGATCTTAATGGGATAATCTCATTTTTATTGATTTATATTTTGATATTTTAATTGAATATTATAAGCTCGATATTTGATTGAATATTATAAGCTTGCCCGATTTGATGTTTTAATTTAATTTTATTTGAGGCATTTTAACCCCGTCGATAACATGAATTTTATTTCCTTCCGTCAGCAGAAGTCTTCAAAAAATTCGATAATAAATATTCCTTGTTAAAGTTTTGACACATATCAGAATTCTTTTAGATTTTTATATAATTTCTAATAATTACAAATTTACTATATTTTTCGAAAATTTCTATTTAGAATAAATTTTTTATTATTCCAAATTATATAAAAATCTAAAAAAATTCTGATATATGTGTCAAAGCTTTAACAAGGAACTTTTATTATCAGATTGTATTTTATTTATTTTACAGATTTAAATTTATCTATCAAGAAATTTATCTACTAAAATTCACAATCAAAATGTTCACAATCAAATTGATCGTGTCTTTAAAGATCACAGCTGCTGGTGAAGAGTTAAAAAAGTATTAATATCATAGTCTTTTTGTGAAACGACGAATAGTCTACTTTTGTCTTTTTCTAAAAAGACCTGCTAGTCGACGATTAATATGTATAAGATAAAAATTTATAAAAATTATATAATTTATAATTTTCACTTTGCAAGCTATTCATAAGCTTTCAGGAAAGTCAGGATAAAGGACATGTTAAAAATACGCCAATAATAGTTAAGTGCTTTTTGTCTATATATAATAGTTAAGTGTCTTTGCTCTCTGATGAATGCGCTTTAAAATGGAAAATACAACGCGTTGTGCCCAGGTAAAGGGCAGTTTTACGCGTCCCCGTCGGCAGTGTTAATATCCTTTCGGCATTTTAGCAAAACATCGCGACGCATGAAATTAGCGTGACGTGTCGAATTTTGCTAATCACCAGTCGGTAGACCGGTACGCGCGCCTCCCGAGTGCATGTCGAATTACAATCGCCGGCGTTTTGCGAGCCTTTCGTCTTTTTACCCATCCCCAAGTGAAGGTAAATTCAGCGTAGAAACGAGTATCAGGAATATCGAGCCGAGCGATATAAAAATCATCTATTATTCGGCCCATGTAATTGCGATTAACATGTCTTGCGATCGGCGCCCGTCACTTTCCGCTCGATCGGTTAGAAAATCTTATACGAAGTTAGCCGCGGTCACGTGATCAAATTTCCCTAATCACCTGCGGCAGTACGTGTCGCGCGCTTCTCGGTGCATGTCGGATCACAATCGTCGCGTATCTTCGCGTCTTTTTACTCCAATCCCATTAAATCCTACATACATACAAACGAGGGGATACTGAATTCGACACGGGTGATTGTCACGATGTATTAACTGGCTTGCATGATCGCGATTAATCAGATTAATGTTTCTCGAGCCTCGACGTTGACGGCCGTCTCATCGGAAAATTTTCCGGAGCGCGCGCGAAGTTAGCCGCAGGTCACGTTACCAAACTTTTTTAACCGCCTAGTATGGCATTACGTGTCACACGCTTCTCAGTGAAGCATGTCGGATCGCAATCGTCGCGTATCTTCGCGTCTTTTTACTCGTCTTGGATAAACCCTGTGTATAAACAAGTATCTAGAATATTGAATTCAAAACGGATGATTGTCATGATGTGTTAATCGATGTGTGTTAATCGATGTGTTAAACTGTTAACTAGCTCATATGATCGCGATTCATGTAAACGCTCTCTCGAGCCTCGAAATCGGCGGAAAATTTTCCAAAGCGCGCGAAGTTAGCCGCGAGTCGTGTTACCAAATTTTTTTTACCACCTAGTAACGGCATTATGTGTTGCGCGTTCTTCGGGACATGGCGGATCACACAATCGCTACGGTTTTTCATGTCTTTTTACCGGATAAGCTGCAATAAATTCTGCGTACAGCGAGCGTCGGCGATACTGAATCTAGTGACGAGCAATCGTGTTAATTGACCAGTGCGATCGTGATTAATACGCCACTCGGGACTCGAAATCGGCGATCCGTCTGGAATTTTTACGGAACGTGTGAAGTTATCCGCGGTCACGTAACTGAATTTTACTCAACTGCCGGTCAGTACGTGTTGCGACGCGGGCAGGGTTCGTCGACAAAAATCTATCCGTTTCCCATATTTCGTTCATCCGCGTCGCAAGTGTTATTCAGCATCCCGGAACATCGAAAAGCATCGAAGGAGAGAAATCTCCATCGTGGATCAACGGAGACGGATGATTCTGTGCTCGTCTAGAATATTCGGATAACGGCCGACCTTCGTGTCCGCCATTTGCTCGCGTCGCGCGTCTTCCCGGAATCGGTGATGTTGTCACTTCTCGGAATTTTGTGTCGCGCGAAAACATTAGATCGAAAACAACAGAAAATCGGGAACGAGTCCGGAAGCGCCGTCTCATTATATCAGGTGATAAATCAGTCATATATCGTTAGTAATTTAATTTAGCGATCGATAATGGGAGAATATATGAATATATTATTATATCCATGAGTGTAATTTCGGAATACATCGAAGGATCGTCAGTTTCTATCGAGAGAAGCCAGTGATTGTGAGTATATAAAAGATGAGGAGATTGTGTATCTTGCAATGAGATGAAAATTTATAAAAGCGAGCATTAATGAACATTAAAAATGAAATTTATTAAATATTGACCAATGAAATTGTCTAAATATTGACACACACATACCAATAAAATTTACTAAATATTCACCAATGTAACTTTCACCTCATTTTAAGATACAACTCTTTCCTGTTTTTCATTCCTGCACTAGAATTTTTTTGTCGCTTCATCAGATATTAAATATATCTATTTCACTTTTCTAAAAATGTTCAGCTATAGAAAATAGATGATAGAATTTAAATTTAATTCAGATGACGCAAGCACACATAAATTTTTTTATTTGGAAATTAGATCGTGGTATTCATATGTATTTTGAATTTTGATTTGAAACCGAAGTAACATCCAAAATGCTCTATTTTTTTAAATCAACAGAAATAGCTCGATTTTTTGATTTTTTAACTTGCCATATTAATTTTATAAACTTGTATATTACCGTTGACTTACTTTCTCTCTTTTACCTCAGCTTGCATATTACAAACCAGGCCATAAATGGCTTGAAAAATACTGGAAAATCGAGTTATTTTTCATCGATAAAAAAATGTGACGTAATGGACCATTTGGACAGCGATTAGAATTCAATGAAATACATACAAGAATAGATGACCTAATCTCTGGATCAAATACCAAATTTTGTTTTGTGTGCTTGTATAACAGATACATTTAGCGCGTTTGGTCATGCATTGACTAAAAATAAAATTACTTTAAAAGAAGAATATTAATGTATATAAAATTTCTTCAGTTTTAAATAAGTAAAATTAAAAAAAAAATTTTTTTCAAACAGAATTGTGTGAGGATACAAAAAGAAAAATTTAAGTTTTTAATTAATTTAATTTCAGATTTCAAAAAATAGTTTTCTAATTTTAGGAAAAATTAATTAAGCATTAGAAAAGCATCAATCAAAGCTGAGATTGTCACTGTGATCGTGAGTATATGAAGATTTAAATTTAATTCAAATAATAGATACGTTTAGTATATTTGGTGATATACTTAAACTAAAAATAAAATTACTTCAGAGAAAAAACACAGATGTATATAAATAATTTTATAAATTAAATAATTTTATAAATTAAAAAAGATTTTACTAAATAGAATATGTAGATTAAGATAAAAAGAGTAGCAAAAATTTAATTTCTTAGTTAATTTTAGATTAAAAGAATTAAATATTTTCTAATTTTAGGAACAATATCGATGTTTTAATTAATCTCGGATTGAAATGTATCGAAAAACACATCAAGAAATCATCGCCAGTTTTCAAGTATTCAAAGAAGATTGAGATCGTTGCTATCGTGAGTATATAAAACTTAAATTTAACACAGAAAATATTATTAATACATTTTGCACATTTGACGAAATATTAATACTAAAAATAAAAATGTTTTAAAGGAAGCATTCGATGTATATACATTATTTTTAGTTAAAAAAGGGATCTTATTAAGTAAATTGTAAAGATCCAAGGAAGCAAAATTTAATTTTTTAATTAATTTTACATTAAAAAGATTAAAGATTCTATTTTAAGTAAAATTGGAATTTGAATTAAAATTTTATGCGATTGCGTAAAAGATTTTATTCTGGAAAATATGATTACTAAGACCCAGTTGCACCAACGTTACTTTGATTTTAAGCGAAACTTAAAACTCTCTCTATCTCGTTTTAAAACCGAAAAAAGACAGGGACAAAAAAGAGAGTTTTAAGCCTTGCTTAAAATTAAAGTAACGTTGATGCAACCAAGCCTAAGTGATTTATTCAATATTGATATTTCTAGATTGTAAAAAAATGCGATGTTTATTTCATAAATACTGAATAAAATATTGAATTTAATTAGCTTTTTAAATAATATTGATTATAGTATCATATAAAATTACATAACAAATATTTAAATATTTAGCAAAAAAAGAGAAAAAGAGAAAAATTCACTTTGTGATCATCGGTAAATTATTTAATTGTTTAATTTAAAGCTTTCAAAAAAATATTGAATTATAGTATCAAAATTACAAAATTATATATATCGATATTTAGCAAAAATAAAATTAAAACTTTATGAGGAGAAAGGAAGGAAAAATCACTTTATCTATTCTTGGCAATCCTTCGCTAAATGAATCTATTATCCAACAATATGTACATTCGAATTCGCAAGATCTTCGAAAGCTTATCTAGAGGTGAGATGCGATCAGCCGATAGTAAGAGAGTAATCTATCAGATATCAAATACTTACTGTGTGCTGTCAGTTTGATGATGACAGAATCCGTGCCGAAGCTGTTCGTAACCGTGCAGTTGTAATCCCCAAAGTACGTCGATATGGGATCCAGTAGGGTGACAGTGCTGACTATCCTCTCGGCCGCGTATTCCTCTTGCACGTAGAACGGCGTATTGTTCGACGTGAAATTGAGCTCGCGACCGGCGAAGCTCCACACCACCGATTCCGCTTTTGGCACGGATATCGCGGTGCACTTAACCTGGGAAGCAAATCGGGGAAAAACGCCGGTGAAATAAAAAAATTGCGGTTAAGCGTGAGTCCCATTCCACCCCTCATCGGCGACCCCGGTCTTTCACCCTCGTCAACCGGGGTGACCCGCGCTCTTCGGTCTTCTCTAAAAGTGTTTCAAGCATCGGCAGAGAGAAAAATGTGGGAATGGCATCGCGCGATCATCGTGAACTCCTGTGTCAGCGTGAGGATACGTATAGAATGCTGGCGAAACGCTTGGATGAGCTTTGAGTGCCAGTTCATTCTCAGTTGAAATACGAGATAAAAATTCGTATCGACATATGTCCGCAAATGTCTACACCTTTTTCAATGAAGATTGAAATTGATATAATTTTAAGTGAATATAATTTTAGATAAATGTTTATCTTATTGTGTTTATTATTACATTCGGTTATGTACATATTGCTTAATCATAACTTTCCAGATAGAACACCAAGTCATGATGACGTCAAAATGATCTCAAAATGATTATTAAAAGTCACTTTTATCAGTCACGATCCATATTGACATCATTTTGATGTTATCGTAATCTGTTGTTTTACTTGAGCTTTCGTATCAACAAAATGCTTATAAAAATTGCATTTCAGGTCAGACGTTAATACGGACTTTTCTCCTCGTTTTGATGTGAAAATGTTTATTGACTTGGAACACCCCGTACGTTGATCGCCTTAGCAGACTCTCAAGCGTATTTTCACGCCGCAGATGAAGCTAAATTATCCAGAGTAAATTATACTGAGTGCTTCCTGATAATTGCCATCCCCAGCTTAAAAGATCTTTCCGGTAGGAGGGATGCTTCCATGTAATAATAATTCATAATACACACGCGCGGGATGTCCGGCACGACGGCACTCAAGAAAATTACGTGTTGGGCCCTATGTACCTTTGCGAATGATAGTCGCTCTGAGCATGATACTTAACCGATAGCGGATCAAAGAACATTGTTCCATCAATGTATGTGTGTACCTTGACCACTCCTTCGTCAGGCACATATTGGATCCTTTGCGACACTATGCTGGGCGGCGCGCGAATGTAGATGTTGGCATGGCCAGTTAATTCTGGAAAGCCGCGCACACGGGCCTTGCAGTAGTAACGGCCGGCAGTGTCAGAGCTCACAACGACGCTTATGTTCGGACTGTTGGCGACCATTCGGTCCGAATCCTCGTGGTACCACTCGATCTCGGGCATTGGATTCCCGTCTACGTCGCACTGCAGGATCTCCGTGGCGCCGTAATGTGTTTCCACAGAGAGCGGCGGGTGCCGAAACTGCGGGCCGTCTGAGAAAATTCAATTTTAACCCCCCCTCCAGGTCAGCTTTCGCACGAAATGAATTCGTGGGGTGAGAGGGGGAAAAAATGTTACTTCCTTATTGCCGTGCGTCTATTCCGGCGTGGCTTATTTCGAGAGCGCGTTTCCGCGTCGTGGCTCTATATTTTATATCGTTACCGCGATTACTCCTTTAACACGCCTGTAAGGTACCGGCTTTACGGTAAAACGAAATTCTCTCTAACGTGTCGAGCAGCGCGCGTACGAAACGCGCAACGCGTCTATTTTTATATCTTTACGCGATGGTATTTTCAGACCACTGCTTTGAAACTATCATTTTTTTTTCCACACAAAATGAACGTTGGAATATTTGCGTGATCGCGGAATTTAAGCATCGAAGAAAAAGTCCATGTTAAAACACGTGATAGTTTCTAAGAAATATAGTTTCTATTGACCTCCACTGTTATTTTTTCTACGGGAATGTTTTCTTTTTACTTACATCTTATATCCAGGGTTTGGCTCTCCTCACTTTTACCGACTTCATTCGAAACCTCGCACTTTACGGTCGCGTCGTGCAGCTCACGGGTAGCATTATGAATAATCATCTCCGTGGTGTAGTCTCCGATCACCTTTTTCTTGTTGATAAACCATCTGGAAAAGAAAAGCGAAATAAACGTCATTTAAAGAGGACGGTCTAAAATAGCATCTCTTCTCTTTATCCTCTATAATTATTTGACCATTGATGGGTGTAATAAGCCGACGTTGTAGATCAAAAACTCACGGATTATCAGGCGTTTTTCACATATACACTCACACACACAAACACACACAAATCACGTTTTCTTCTTCTATCGTTCTATAACTTTCTAGCGTCGCCATCTCCCGCTCCGGATCAATACGACTTTTTAATAACGCGATGCATTTAAACGATTACTTCTGCGACTCAATGCCATACCCGTTTTTTCGCTGATCTCGCGTAATATATACGAGATATCTCTAAATTATGCAAGATGTGCACGTATTTTTTAATTAAATTTGATTTTTTTTTTTTTAACTGAATACTTTTCTCTTAACACTTGATAAACATTTCGTTAATTAGATCTCAAGCTAAAAGTCCTAGTTAATTAAAAATTAAATGAAAAATTATCTTAACATTTATTTGTCTCTCAAATTTAATTTCATTTTCGATCGTTTTTATAATTGAAAAATGATTAATTTCTCAATATTTACAATGTAGAGAGAAGTCGATTTTAAATTAATCAACGAGCACGGTAAATTTGGTTTGGTTGACATTTTACACGTACTTTATGACATTTCTTTATCGCGAGCTATTCTTGCCACTCGACTTTTGCCAACTGAGGCATCTTCACGAAGGATCTGAGCGATTTATCTTGAGCATCGTTTGGCTGCACAATCGGGGAAAAGAACCTCAACGTCGTCGTTTCGAATGGTAATAAACGGGAGAGGGCAGGCTGCGCTTTTCACAGCGACGAAACGGCCTTCGCGTACAATCAGGGAGAAGAAGAAAGAGTGAGTGAGAGAAGAACCGAATCGAACCGGAACGACGACTTACCAAGCTCGTGTGTCTCTAGACAAGAGAGACCCACCACCCTTCGCCACCCTCTACTAACTCCCTCCTTTCTCGCGCTCTTCACCCTTCGCATTGCAATCGATTTTATCGGAGCCGTCCGACAGACAATTTACCTCGCAAAGATGCCGGCAAAAGCGCTGTGCAACGTATATTCGCGCGAATACCGTGCCATAACGACTCGATAAACATTGAAATGTCTGTAGGTCATCTCGTATCTTCCGGCAAAGTTCAACTCTTTCGTGTACACGCATCTATAGTGTTTGCGGAAGACACGATCTAACTTTAGGAAGATATTTTACTTCGTAGCGAGATTGAAAGAAGTTTTATGATTCCAGCAATACCTTTCTATCTCGAGTTGTAATACGTTATATGTATTTGTCATCAGAAGGAGTTATTTCTCATTTCTAGCGAGAGAGAAAAATATTTCAAGAAACAAGCCTTTCTCGAAGAGTTTATACGTGCTCCGATTTAAAATTTATTTTCTAATTTTGTAATATTAATTGCTTTCTTCATAAATGTAATAATTTGGATAGAGCAGCAAATTCAACTACACGATAATAAGAATGTATTTTTTATATCATTCTATTTTCTGTAACTCGAGAATTTATCAAAGTGATTGTGATCACGGAAATGAAATAACGCAAATTTAATTAGTATCCGAAATTAATTAGTCCAACGAGTTAAGTTATCTCTTATCTGAGTTTCCTACATTTCCTTGAATATTATACGTCCTTTCTCTGCTGTAATGAGAGATCATTTAAAAACTGATACGATAGAAGATTTTGTTACTTTGTCATCTCGTTACTTAACGCGCGAGAACATGGCAAATCATGTCGCTGGTCTCGTCGCTTTCTCAGTTTTCACTTGCATTCGGATCTTTTTTTTACGAACAGTGGCGCGACGACGACCGTTGTGAAAGTTATAAAAAAGCTGCGGAAGCTATAAAAGCTGTTAAAGTGACTGGTAACTAACGTTCGTTATCGTCAATACAATGTGGTTCTCTCGCTACTCTTTACTCACTTCTCTGTCTACCCTACTGTCCGTGAAGTCCCATAAGCGGATCAAGTTTCTTTTTTTCCACGGAGCTTTAACGCATACACATCACCTACGCCTGGAGAAAGTCCGTGACACGAAAAAAAGGAAAAGAAAACGATTTTGAGCTTTTGTATCCGTGTAAAAGCTTTCCGTTCAGTTTATGTACGGAAAAAGAACCACAATTTAAATCTCAGTCGCAAAAAATCGTTGCAAATCGAAATCCTTTTGTTTCTACCTTTGATTATATATGAAGTTAATTTAAACTCGCACAGCGAAACGCAGCAGCGATATAAAAGAGTATGGAGTACCGTATACGTACATTGCGCGTCAATACAATTCACGCTAAACGATCGAAAGCCTCGTCTAAAAAACATAAAAAAAAAGGACTTGATTTTACAAATTGTGGTAATGTTTTTTTTAAATATGCAATCTGCGCTTTCTCGGGGGGTGATATTTTCGTCGAGCCGATTTAATTCGAGCGACCATCCGATAATCTCGTAAATTAATACAACGCGTCATCCAGGGTGAACAGTTTTTTTCCCCCGGCGGGATGTTGCGTAACGAATAATTTAAAAGCAATCAAAGCGGGCCCGCTAGGCGAAACCCGCAAACGCGCTCCACGTTAACACGTGCGCGCGCAATACCGTCCTGAATTTGACATTGTCCTCTTTGTAGAGAGACGGATATCGATCATCCACCTTCTCTTTGTCGCTCGCAGCCAATGTACGAACAACGCGACTCACGTTTTGCTTACGCGCCCTCGCGTGCTCGCTGCGCCGATGGCGTCGCTCACCTGTAGCGACACGATATCGTGAGAAACTATCGATATTTTGGAAACTTTAAGCAGCTTAAGAGAACCGATCGCTTTAAGGAAGGGAAGCTGATATGAGTTGAATCGCCTATGTACGTCATATTTTATTTGTGCATGCAGAAAGGGAAGTTTCAGTTTCGATCGAAGCCACTTTCTGGCAAATATTTTCCCAGCAAATACCCGAAAGTTTGGAAAAATATTTCAGACAAAAATTAAAACGGAGCATTTGGTATTTTATCGATCGATCACGATGATTTTTAATGTTATAGAAAAATTTAATCGTGCATTATTCGTCATCTTTTATATTGGTCTCCTCCTGTCATCAATATTTTACTTATTGTATGGTAATTATAGGTACATAGAGAATAACTGTTAAGCAACTATTTTGAACTCGTGTTCTATATTGACTTTATTGAACAACTCGGCGACCTGATTTAGAGTAAAGTTCGAATTACCGCGTAGAGAGAAATCTTATTCTTCTGTTTTTAATAAATAATTATTTTTTTGTTAATTTTATGTGTGCACTTTTTATCAGCTCCGTACATTTTAGAATAAAATACAGTTTTTATGATCTCTAAGAGCTGACATAACTACATTAATTGTTCTATAATATTTTAATGAAGAATCGGATATTTAAATCTCCTCTCTTCCAATATTAATGGAAATATCATCGATATCTGTCAGTTTTTTATACTCACCTATATTCTACATCAGGTGGATTGGCCTCGGCGCAACACTTGAATCTAAGCTCGGAACCTTCGACGATGCGATCGATCTTTGAGAGGGACACCTTTGGTGCGTAACGTACCTGAAAACAAAATACGTGAATCGCCTTTCTCCATTTTCTAAGCTTCTCATCATGTAGAAATCGAACTGTCGCGCTTTCGTACCGAGCTGTGCTACGTGCGTAGTCCGGAATAATAATGATCATATCCATTACTACACGTTTGAAATTTTCGAAGCGTTCGTTATATATTTCACAAGGGAAATAGGAGATATATCCCGTAGTATATTACTCACGCTCGATACACTTTCAGAATTGAATGAAATTTTATCTGTTCAAATTTTGTCTGAAACCTTTTAGGGCCGTATATTTATCATGTTATTTGAAACTCTATCCTTTTTAAGGCTATAATTTTTTTGCACAATTTAAAAATTAATTTAAATAACGAGGCATTTGTTGCATTGTGTTGCATTTGTTTCCTCGATTCATTATGTTTTCTTTGACTATCTGATTGTTTCGATCAAATAATATAAATTTTCTTCCATCGAAAATATTAACGATTAATACTTTTATGAGCATAAACTTGAAAAATCGCCGTTAGTAATACAGCTATTCTGCATTAAACTTGGAATACATTTAAATAGAATTTTAGTATTTAAAGATTTTTTTTATTTAAATATTAAATTTAATAGATATTAAAAGATTTATTTTTGATATTAATATTATATTGGGATTTATTCGATATAAAAACGTTATATAATCTAAAAGAAGAAGTTAATAACAGATATTTTAGTAGAAATCCACTCTGAATCAAGAAGAAAAATTTATCATTATGTAATAAAGATAAAATATTCTCTCTATATATCAAAAATTAAGTTTTTCTTCATTTTGTCGACACGTGCGTGGATGATAAAAAAGAAATCACATCAAAGAAATAGGAGTTTGCTTGAACTCACTTGCGTAAGAATTGCTTCCAATTAGAACACGATATTAACGTCGAACTTATATATTAGGAGTCGTGAAAAGCGCGAGTAATATATCCGGCACCAGTGTAAAAGAGTTAAGTAATAACTCGTGAGAATTTTCTCTGCAGGTCGGGCAGTCGGTGTGTTCGCAATATCGCGCCATCTCCGTCCTCGTTCTCGTCGTCGTCGTCGTCGTCGTCGTCGTCGTCGTCGTCGTCGTCGTCGTCGTCGTCATCGTCATCGTCGTCGTCGCCGTCACAAATTCGAATGTTCTGCTCGGGTAAAAATCTCTGCGAGTTCGCTTCGTTGCCCTTTTCCATGAAACTATTTGTTCCCTTTGCCACTTCGGATAATGGAGTCTACGTCTCTGAAGAAAAGAGGGCGGAAGTAGTACCCGGAGAACGCGCCAAAGTACTCGCGCGCGTTCGCAGCACGAAAGTTGCGCCAACGGATGGCGATTACCGCGCGCTAACCGCTTCTCAAGACACGACGTTAATTATTATACGTCGCCTCGTTACCCTTGTTACCCTCCTCTCTGTCCCGTCCCGGGCCCTGCTTTTGCGCGACTCGCGTTAATTTCTTCCTCCGGTCAGCGAGTAAAAAGAACGCGCGCGCATAAAAGGCCAGTGATTTTATTTTCCTTTAAACGAGATTTCTATCTTCCCCCGCTTCTCATTTTCTTTTATTTTTCTTCGATTTCTCGCCGTCTTGCTGACACAGTTTACAGACTTATTTCATGATATTATACCTTATGTATTTCCAACTGTTCAAGTTCTTATCGTGTAGTGCGCACTAAGAGTGAGGCCCAATTACTTTGTACGTACCTCGACGCGAAGTTTGGCGCTTTGCGGCGAACGATCCGCCATATTTTGACTTTGGCACGTGAAAGTCGTGTTGTCGTGATCCTTTCGCGGCATCACTCTCAGGACGGACTTTACAGTAATCAGCGGACCGTTATCGTACGCTTCCTTCGTGGTTTTGATGCCATGGCGTAGCACGTTGCCCAGTCCATCGATCCACGTGATCTGCAAGAAACGTTACAGTTAAAAATAGCATCGCTCGAGAAAACACCCGCGTCAGGGAATTGACCCGTGACCGGAATTCTTATGCTTTTATTACCATAATGTTGCCCGTGGGACTTAAAAACTTAAAGTTTTATATATATATATATA